AGTAAGTAGTAGTAATACTATATAAGTAAGGTTAAGTACTTAGTTTATTATACTACTATATAAACTAAAATAATATATATATATATATATATATATATATATATACTAGTGTATAGCCCATCAAAAATAGTGGGATAAGTACTACCACCCCCATCCCATAATATACCCTAACCTCGCATAGCTAACTGAAATAAATAAATTTTGCAAAATCAAGCTTGATCAACAAAGTGACAGAAAAGTGCAGTCGAGGCAGTCAAATGGCATTAAATTCCTTTGTGAGCCAATCAAAATTAAAATCTTTCATGAAAAGAATTTGTAGCGTACTCATAGAATAATTATTGGTAAAAATCAGTTAGATTAACAACTTCTAATATATGGAAAAGCCAGTGCTAATATTGTTGTAAGTCTATGTACTGAAAGTATAAAGTGAAATGTATAGACAACAAAACTTGAAAAATATTTGTTGATTTTTTAATTTAGTCTCCTTTGATTAAAGAGGTTTACTTTTTTAAAAACATTTTGATGATACAACAAAAAATAGCTTAATTCAGAAACAATTAAAGTGTAAAATTGAATTGGTATTTTTACTTTCATGATAAATCTTATGCTCTTGGCTAGGTGATCCCATACTACATCTTTACTTTAGGTTTATTATACCAACACTCACTACGGTTATAAGGTATCACACACCCCAACATGGCCACCTTGTACCCCCATTACTAAAATTGTAATGGGCAGGCAGTGATCAAACTATTCTATCTGAATAAATACATTTTGGCTTTTATGACTCCTCCTATTTTGAGAAACTGAGCGTGATGTGAAACACACTGGCTTTTATATAGGTTATATATTCAAGTTTTACGTTTTCCAATTTTTAGGTTATTTCTAACATTAATACTTAGAAAGTTTTTATTTTCCTTAGATATCAAATGTTGTATTAATAAGTAAGTTATTATTGCAAATCTATTGTTTAACCAAGTCATGATCTGTTTGTACCTTTTTTTGGTGTGAAGTGCACCTACATATCAGAGTTTAAAATTTAAGTAAAAAAAATATAATTTTAAATTACTTCAACAATTTTTTACACAAAAATGTTTTAAGTTGAACGTAATCCACAAAATAAAATGAAAGTAATTTTTCAACTTTCATTTCTGTTCAGCTTCAATGAATCTACCTGTAAACAAAATCATTTAACAATATTTTATAAATTTTCTGCCCATCCTTAAGTATGGATTTGTATTTGCTTAGGAAGTTTTATCCTTTGGAAGTATAGTGAGTCATGTCTTTTGTTTTTCATAATTTTTTTATCTGTCTTTTTATTACAACCCTTCATTGTAATCCTTTTATTATGTCACAGTATGTGTCCTGAAGAATTACTAATGATGCTTCACTTTGAAAAAGCTAGAATCAGTGGCTAAAAGTGACTGGATAAAAAATAATATTATAATCTATATACATCAATATAGAGCATATGAAATGTTTTTAGCAGTAATTTGTGGTTTCTTTTATATTGGCTGTCCAGAGCTTTTGTAGAGGTGAACAGAGGATAATACTTCCAAGTTTCAAGAACAAATCACAGATCTTTAAAAAATTTAAATTATCTTTAAATGTTCTTTTCATTCCTGAAAAATGTTTTGGTGCTAAATTATATTCTGTGACAAGACATCAGGTAAGCCATATTAGGTTTAGAAATTATAGTAGTCAGTAGCAAGATATTCCAATGACTCAAACTTCATTTATTGAATATTTTGGTTAAGTTTATCCTTTTCAAAAATTCACATGAATAAAAGAATATATTTTTTATTGAAAATAAACTATATTTTTTAAATATAAATTAATTTTGACTAAGAATATTTTTGCTTAGTTTAACCTGATGTCATTTCAAAAGGTAATGTTCTAGGTCAATGATAAATTTTTCACCAGTTTCAGCAGTGTATGTTATGATTTATAGCTAGAATTGGTGACTATTGCAATTTGCAAGTATACAGTACTAAAAGAATTATGTCTATGAATAACAATCAAATTGAAACTGCTTGTATAAAAAAAAATGGAACTATTTGATCAAAATTCTATTAAATTCTAGAATGAAAGGAATTATTTTTAATATTTTTCAGAACAATAAAATTTTGAGAAGTTCACAACATAAAAAATATGGTAAAACTAAATCAATTTATATGATTTTTTATGATGAACGATGATTCTATTAATTTTCTTGCAATATGATTAAGTATTTCCACTGTGAGAAGTAAAAAAAATCAAGGAATATCAGTGATACCCATCTGTTTTAGAAGGGGTTAAGATATTATTTAGTTCTTTTAACAGTATATTCATATTAACTACTGCTTTGAAAACTTGCCTAGTCATTCAAACATGTTTTCTTCAGAAGCAGTTTGTTGGTCCAAAATTAAATGGAGTTTACTTTTATTGTCAGTAAAGTGCCCATCAGAAATAAGTTTTGGGAAATTACCTTGATCCTCAAATATTCGAAGTTAAACATTATCTTTCATTTTTCAGTTACTTGACTTCAAGGAGGACACATTTTTGATAATATTGTGTATATTATTGTGTTGGTTATGCTATTTTAAGAACAAACATTCATATATATCTGACACCAAAGAGTTGAAAACAAGAATATACTTTATTCAAATGTTTTAGTAACCATACAGTTACTAGGAAAAATGACTGTGTTCTTAAATACAGTCAATTTAAAACAAATGTAAAGATTTGTATTATAAGATATCATATAATGTGTGCAAAAACATAAATAAAAACAACTTATAAATAACTTGCTGTGAAACTTCGGACGATGCATAAAATTTATTAAGGATATAAGAGACTGTTAAGCTACTTCACGTAGTGATTCTTCTGTTTTAATCTATTATCAAAATGTAAACATTGGATTTATAATAAATATAAATATTTTTTTAAACAGAAATAGTTGTAAATTTTTAAACAAAATACAAAAGCAGCAGCTCAAAATTTAAAAGTTAAAATTTTCTGAACTCTATTTAGAAGTGGCACTGACTCAGTGATATTTTGAGACAGTTATTCTGATAAGAACAAAGAAGTTCCTATACGCCTTGTATCATGTGAACTCAATAAGGTTTGGTTTGTTAATACAGTCCTCAGAATTATTTCTTCAAAACTGTTATTAATGAGCATTCTGAGTCCAATTCTTGCAAATTAGCAAATGTTACCCTCACTCATTGCACATATTTAGTGGCAATAGAAATATTAATTTCATGTATGATGCAAATGAATAACAGTTTATACTCAGGCTGAGTGACTGTATGGTGCTAGTGTATTTGGTAGAGTTGAGTATAATAATTGGGATACAGGCATTCTTCACATATGCAATATACATATTAAGCCATACTGGTGTGGTAACTATCCATTATCAAGGAAACTTTGTCTGTATATGGACATACCTTCTCCTAAATGAGTTGACTGATTTAAACCAAACTTGGCGTGCTAACTTAGTAGTGCAAAGGCAAACCAAAATAATATTAATTATTAATATTAATTAATATATATAATTAATAATAAACCAAAGTAATAATAATATTACTTTCCCATATATTGCAAAATTAAAATATTTCATTGAATAAACCCTATATTGTTACTGCAGCAGGTCTTGTAAGTAGCTGAGTTTGAACAAAACTCGCACCACAACAAATTCTACAAGTCAAAGAATGTAAATTAAAATTTTTTAGCATTTCGGCTTATTTCCCGTAATAACTACAATATACAGTAATAAAGTATTCAGGTGCAATGCTGAGATTTATAGATATTGCTGCTGTTTAAGTTTCCTGCTCTTTCCTGATTCACACCATTTAACTTCTACTTTATACCAAGGTTAGAACAAACAATTAAGTCTAAATTAGAAAAGTTTATCTGTTACAAATACCGGATCTCTCTCTGTTTAACACTGGAGAAACTGTTTCTATATTAAAAAGCTTGTAGCAAACACCAGCAGGCTAGGTGATGCAATACCTATTATATGTGATGTATGTGCAAATGGTATCATGTCTGCTTAAAATTGTTGGATAATGTATTGATGGAAATTTGATCTAATTATATAAATGAGCAAAAAATTAATAACAGATCAGATATTTGTTCCATCCATAGTCATCAGCTGCCTCTATAATATAAGTTAATTTTATCACATTTACAATTTCAAGGTAATTAAATAGTCTGCCAGGTTTGGATTATATAACATGCTTTAATCAATTTTCTGAAAAAATATATTAACAGTATGTTTATATGAGATACTAGATTCCAATGCATGTAGCTTAATAATGAATGGGTAAATCATCCTGATCAGGTACTTTGATTATTTCCTTTATCAGCCAGACTTTATCCCAGAAACTTAAGTTTTAAAGTCCTAAAGAAATCATATTTGTCTAAGAAATTAGACAAAGCTCTGAAATATGCTATGGATGAATCCTTATTTAACCCACTTAATTACTTTAATGTACTATATATAATTTTGAATCAATTTTTGTTTGTTTGTTTACAGGAAGAATCAGCTGTAGAAATTAAAATGCTATGCTTGCTTCCACTCTTACTCTGGGAAAAATAGGACATGCTTTGCATACACATTAAAGAACATGATTTTGATACAAATAATTTTAATACCAACAATGCAGTTGCTAAATACTACTAAGAAAAGTGCCAATAGTCATGTGAATAATCTCATTTATGAAAAATCATGATCCTTGTAACTGTGAAACATTACAATGTCATAATATCTAAAGTCTTTTTCATGGTACCCTTGTGTTGTGTGAAATTTTTGTGCTTATCTCAGGGTTTTATTTTACAACTATTTTCCTATGAACTTTTTTCTCTAAATATTTTGTGAATTTAGTTATTAAAATTTTGTACAACTACTAAATGCTCTGTGGCTGATACTTAAAATATTTTAGTATTTATGATCATTAATAACTGTAAAGTAGGTACATGTTCAGTGTTCTGAATAATTTGCATTTCTGTGTTATTACTATTACTTTCCATTTGGTTTATAAAGAGTGAAGCTATCACTAATTGCTATCTATTTAGAAAATTCTATTTTTTTCTGTTGCCAGTAGATCTCATCTGTTTTGATTGTTTTAAAGCTAGAGCTGTCACTGAATGTTAATGTTTTTATTTTCCAGGCTTTTGGTGTTGGTGCCTTTGAAGATGAAGATGAAGATATCTATGGAAAGGATGACATGTCTCAGTATGATTTTTTTCTTGGTGGGGAAGGAGATAAATATGATAGAAAAGCTATTGGTAAATATTTTTGTGATACTGTGTAAAAACAATTAATTTTGTACTATAGATCTGCTAATTATAAAAAGTCTTATTTATTTTATATTTCTAAATTGGCAAAAAAAACGATCAGAGTTATTTATAATGGTCAAATGTAAGATGATATGTTTATCAATAGCTTACTTATTAAGATAAGCTTATTAGTGAAACAAATATTTTAATAATTTTATTTTTTTGCCTACTCTATCAAAGTTATGACAGTAGTAATGGTTGGATACGGCTTGAATGGGTAATGAATAAAAACTTTAATACAAGTTTAACATAACAGCAAATGTACAACGTTTTGACAAGGTTTTGTCATCATTTGCTGTTATGTTTAACTTGTATTAAAGTTTTTATTCATTACCCATTCAAGCCATCTCCAACCATTATTAGTCTCAAAGTGGGTTCCTCGTCATCAAATTATGACAGTAGTATTTAAAAAAATTATAATACCCTAGATATTTTTATGTGAAAATTTCATATTTTTATTAGATGCTATGTCACATAAATTATCAATAAAAATAAGTTTTAAACTTAAGGAATTCACTTTTGAATATAAATTGTTATCGTGAAATATTACAGAACAGTTATGTAACAATTCTACGAGGTGTTTAATTGGGTATTATATGTTAGTCCTTTCCTGGTTAAAGATTATGGTGATCATCATTCTTGCATGCTAAACAACTGACCTTTGGCAAGTTAAATCATGCAAAAATAAGAGTGATTTTTGTTTCTCTATCTGTTGCTTCTTGTGTGTTTAACCCTCTCACTATGAGTTTTTCCTATGGTCAGGGTTCAAAGACTTACATTCACAATTTTATTGAACTACCATCTTGTGAATGTATATCAATAACTTTGGTACCAAATTATAGATTATAATTAAAATTTTATTATTATACATTAATTTCTTGATTTAAAAGTAGGTATCACAAAAATTCCTAAATATTGATTTTGTGTGTCACATAGTACCTTAATTCAGCTTTGGTTCAAATTAGATGTTTGTGATGTCTAAATACAAAGTCTGTAGTTTCTTACAAATTAAAAAGTCAAATCAAATCACTGGTATTGACAAGCTAGAATTTAAAATAAGAACCTCCTATCTTTTCTGTTCGCTGGGATATCACTATATTTAGTGAATCAAACAAGGTGGCTCTGCCCACCACTTCCATTTTTGGAAATACTCGCTTACGTACACCCACTTCACTGTATTATGTGTTTATAACCAATGAAAAGCTCAGTACAAACGTCTTTACAATTGTAAGTAGCAGATATCATTGTTTTTTTTGGTTTTTTTACTGTTCTATGTTTTAAGAAAAATATCTGAAATTTAAGAACTTATTTGTAAATAGTAATGATATATATATATATATACACACATATGTAATGTATCAGCTTAACTTTTTTGGGGGGGAGCCAGCTGGGCCCCCAAAACATCCATTTTTAGGGGCCAATCCTATAGCTCATTGTGAAACATACTCTACTGTGAAAGTTATCACAAAAAATCACTGAATTAAGTAGCAGATGATATGTGAATTGAAAAGAAACTAAAATATAAATATATCTCAATTTATTTTGTTGTTAACCTGTATTTCATGAAAAAAACATAACTCAAACCATGTAATTTTTTTTCAGACCACTTAAATGATTTATATATATACATATATACGAGGCCTGTGAGAAAAGTATCCGACCTTTTTTTTGTGATAACCTGATGGATTTGAATCAAGCGCGCTTGCATGAGCCGACCTTGAACCTTTGTGCGCATGCGTGAATTTTTTCCCGCTTGTTGATTGCGTCAGTTGTTGGCAAGCAGCCATTGAGTGAGGTAGTGTGTAGTGCTTTCGTCGGTTTTTCATTGCAAGGAAAATGACGGAACGACTGGAGCAGCGCTACTGCATCAAATTTTGCCAGAAACTGGGCAACAGCCAGGTGGAAACCATTCGGAAGATTCAGACGGCTTTTGGTGACGATGCTATGGGCATCACACAGATTAAGGAGTGTTACAACCGGTTTAAAGACGGCCGCACAACGGTGGAGAGCGAGCCACGCTTCGGTCGGCCATCAAAAAGGCCGAAATGACCAGGTCATTGCCAATGTGAACGTTATGGTGATGCGGGACCGTCGTGTGACTATCCGAGAAATTGCGGAAGAGGTGGGCATCAGCACTTTTTCGGCACATTCCATTAAGACCGAAGAATTGGCTATGAAGAGAGTGGCGGTGAAATTCGTGCCGAAGCTGCTTACGGCGGAGCAAAAGGAACTTCGTGTTGAAGTCTCACAGGAATTGCTGGACTCCACAAACAGTGACCCCTACTTCATGAACACCATAATCAATGGTGACGAGTCTTGGGTGTACGGGTACGACCCGGAAACCAAATCCCAGTCGTCACAGTGGAAGCATTCCACGTCACCAAGACCAAAGAAGGCCC